CAGGCTTACAGCAGGACCAACAGTCCTCATATGTAACACAGTTCCCCCTCAGACAAACACAAAGTCTTTCAAAAATATCTGCTATGGCAAAGATTGAGTCATTCAAGAAGGGAGAAAAATGAAGAATAGGATGTAGATGTGTTGGGGGGGAGAGAATTATTGGTTAATAAATTTCGCCATCTAAATCACTGAAATTTAAAAGTACTGAGGATGGCAACGCCGTGGCTAATGTCAAACATTTTCAGTGAATTATAATCATGAGGGGTTATTCAAAGTTCAGCATAAATCAAAACACCAGAAAATATTCACTTGCTCCGTTTAATTTATAGGGTCAACTGAAGGTAAAATCCATATAGTTCAATCTTTGCAAGCTTTTGGGTAGAAATCAGAAGTTATAGATTTTCAGGCTCCCAAACTGCTGTATTAAGAAACGCTAACCCATAAGAACAGGATTTCAAACTAGCAGTCACTTTCCTCTGAAGCAATAAGCACTAGCTTTACAAGGTGCATATGGACACATTGTACTAATTCTTGAGATTTACTAAATTTTCATATATCACTGAAAGGAGAATGCTAACTGGTAGCTTACTTTTTTAAAAAAAATCTATTTAGAAAAACAAAAAGACACACTGTAATCAATTTACTATAGGGATGCCCTATTTAAAAAAGTATACAAAACCCTCAAAAAGAAATAACATCATATCATGATTAACAATAGTGGGATGTCAGCCCAACTGCTTGAAGTCAAATTTCGTTTCTACCATATGCCCGTTGTACAAGCTTGGACTTAACACCTAACAAATCCATTCTCAGTTTACTTGTTAAATGGGGATCACATGGTTCTGGTGAGAAATATATAAGCTAATATATGTAAGATAGGTAAAATGGGGCCTAGCACATAATTAACAATAATGGCCACCTACTACTCTTATATTTGTATTAGTGGTGATATTAAAGAGTATTAATAATAGTCCATGGAAATATTATTGAAAGGAATGGTGACACTATACATAAAAAGGGAGAAAGCCAAAGCTATGTCAACTAACGTACAATATGGGACCCTTACCTATAGATTAGTAAAGATGCCATGAAAACTTAAAGCCAGAGCCAGAACAGCTCAGTAGGCAAAAGTGCTTGCTATACAAGCAATTCCCTAATTTCCATCTCAGGCTCCACAGTAAGGAGAGAAGTACTCTAGAAAGCTGTCCTCTGACCTCCATACATGCACTCTGGCACTCATGCACCTGCACACCTAAGTGCTAGAATTAAAGACATGTACCACCACTGCTCAGCAGAATTAAAATTTTTTAAACTTATGGGCAAATTTTCCAGGTTCCCTGCAATGCTCCATCTCCACCACCCAGCCTTGCAAGCTATGGAGTCACATACACTAAAACAAGACAGGATTTTAGCCAACTTCTGGGGGGTGGGGGGGAGGGGACAGACCATCACTGCTAAAATCACAGCCAAATAAAGCTTTAGTCTAAAATCCAACCTATATTTACTGTTTCTCATTTCCCTTGTCTGAATCTAGTATAAAATTGATGGACATAAATTCCCACATTTGCTCTTTGGCCATATGACTGCCCTCTAGAATTTTCTATCAGATGCAGCTCCTTCATTTTAGAGCAGGCACTTTGTTATGTTATGCAACTACATCAATTCTAGGAACCACTGACCTGCTGAGACAGCCACCCACGCCACCATTCCATGGATCAATTAAACTTCTGACCACTAATCCACAGGTAACTCATATACTGCTCTCTGAAAGGTGGTGGTATGATAGGATACAATTTCATGGCTAAATTTAAACTCCATTAAAAACGTATCCACTTCTTAATTCTCCTAAACTATAAAGCTAAAATGTATGTCATTTAAACACATGGTAATGTGGCACTAGTACAAAGGAAAGTATCAACGACTGTTGGGCTTATTTTCTAAGAGGAAAATAAAACAAATGCTCATAAATAAAATAAAATAAAATGCTCATTTTCATGGTAACAGAAGGCTTTCTTTCCCTACACACAAATTACTTAATCCACACGATCCTTCGCATGTGACATTAGTATCCCTGTCCTGTGAGAAGTTACATCATAGAGACAGAAATATACCATTTTCAGTTCTTGGGGCACAGGAAAATTCATTAATTATAAAAAAAACAGTTAAATGAAATGAACACTCAAAAGTAAAAGCACACTCTCTTCAACACTGACCACGTAGAAACTATGCCATGTCCTAAGACTAGAAAGGCTGTGGCTAAAATAGTTCTGCAGTACTTAGTGTGGATACACTAAACTTAGAGGGCAGGAATCTGCCTCAATGCTATTCTGGCACCTAATAAATTTATACAAAACAGTATCAAATAAGGAAGTCACTGGACAAGCCCGTTCATAGCATCTGTTACACCTCTACTTAGTTTTGCAAAAACTATTTTTCAACTTTAGAAACTGTAACCTGATTACAAGGATCATACAACTAAATAAATTAATGAACTCGCCACAAATTAAATTTTAAATTGCATTTCTCTATCTTCTGAACGCTTTAGTGGGAAACAGTTTCTCATACCCCTCATAAATGATACAAATGTACTGTACACAACTGTGAGAACATGTAACATTTGACTAACGAAAAATACTCAACATAAAAGTGGGAGCTCTTCCTTCCAAAGTCAGGGAGAAAAGGAGCTGATTTCCTTTATCTGAATTAAAATACCATCTAGGAAATTAAGAAGTTGTCTATCAGTTCTCTAAGAAACACAAAGACAAAAGAATTATCTAGCACTTGATTTTTTGCAGTAAAATTACATCATACAACCTGAAAAGAAATCAATGTCTATTTACAGACTGTGAGGAAGAGAATGCAACCTACATTTTATAAATGAGAATATTCAAAAAAAGAAAACAACAAAATAAAGAATGCCTATCTCTGCGAACATACTGAGAAAACAAAATCCACATCAGAACAACTGTTTTGAAAACTACAAAGCTCAGAATTGTTAGAGCTTTCTTGCCAACTAGGAATTTAACTGAAAGAGCCTGACAAGTTCTTCTTTCTTTCACAATTCTATTAAGCTCAGAGAGAATTTTCTGCTTTAAGATATGCAACACTTAAAAACATGAAATCTGGCCTAAGAGTATAGCTCACGGCTGAAACTGACTGTTGGTTAGTACATATGAAACTCTGAGATAGAAACCCCCCAGCAGTGCAAAACAGACAAATCAATAAATATTTAAAGCCACAGTGTGGTTTAACACATCAACAAATAATATATTTATTAATTAACAATGAAAATACAAAGATCTCATAAGATGATGGAAACGTAGCTGAACACCAAGACTGCATTTAAAAACTGTTTGTAAATTAAGCCTCATCATCAAAATGAGTAATAAATCTCACTGACATTTGCTCATTTAATTCCAGTGAATTCTGTTTGATCGAAATTTTATTGACTCCTTTATTAGCAACATATTAGGGGCTGGGTGGCACTGCTACAGTGGATAGAGAACCAAGAGTTCTTACCAGAATCTTACAATTTGGTACTTCCTGATGACACTATTTCCCAAAATGCTCATTATAAGTCAACAATTTATAATTCAATAATAATCTAAGAGGAAATTCTAAGAGCAGAGGCCTATTTGGCACAGAAATATGCCAGCAAAACTGAAATAGCATACTTCAGGAATTTTAAAATCAGTAATTTAAATCTTACATAATGCTAAACTTTTTTCTTATAATCTATTCTCTATCACCTTATTATATTAAAAAATGATTTCAGGAACTGGAGAGATGCCTCAACAGTCTAGCACTTGTTGCTCTTGCAAAGGACCCAAGTTTACTTCCCAGCATACACATGGCACCTATCTGTAACTCCAGTTCCATGGGATCCAATGCTCTCTCTCTGATCTCTGCGGGTACCTAAAACACACATGGTGCACATAGATCATGTAAGCAGAACATGCATAACCATAAAATATATAGGCTTAAATAAAAAAAGATTCAGGGAAGGACCCTAGCTCCATGTGTAAAGGCAATAGCTGCTCAGTCTGATTGCCTGAGTTTTACCTACAAGGCTGATGTAGTGCATAAAAGGAACGGCCTGACTCCCACAAGCTGCCCTCTAACTTCCACATGGGTGCTATAGCATGTGCATGCACTCATACCCACACCACTGAATGAATGAATGAATGAATGAGTGAGTGAATGAGCAAATGCAATTTTAAAACCTAGTTTTATATAATTTTGTATTTTTTTATTTTTGCTTTGACAGGGGATATCTTGCTTTATTAACATTGTGTTTAGGTCACATTAGTTTTGAAGTCTGCATCTTAGTAGTAAAGGGTTTGTTGTCAACAGCTTTAATTCTTCTCAATAATTAGAAGTCCAACAGCAGGCCAGTGGAGGTAAGCTGCTGCGAAATGCAGGTATCCTACTAGGCACTCCAGTGCTCCCACTAAACCCTGATCAGTAACCTTACTCTAGCTAGAACTGGAGTCATAATAAATATTTAACTATAAAGGTGTTATGCATCCATCAGCAAGTAATTTCACCAAGAATATTTCCATTTAAGTTTATCGAGATTGACAAATAAGCAAAAACACAAAAGCCTTCACGTGGCAGGAAGGACAGAACGGTGAGAGTCGGGAATGCTGCTAATGTGAACAGAGTTTCTTCCTGTTTGCTTCTGCTCTGAGAGACAAGGTCTCTTACATAACCCAGATTGGCACTGAAGTCCAAACTTACGGTCTTGAATTTATGTTCCTCCCACCTCAGCTTCCCAGGACTTCTTTTTGGAACTGATTATGGAAGTTCATTACTTATTGTGGTACTGATTGCATAACTTATAACACTAAAAGACAACCTAGGTGAGTGTTCTAAATGGGTGTATTTCATGGTACATGAAATATATTTCAATAAACCTGGGGTGGGCCCAATTTTAAAAGTTTTGAAAGAAAAACAAAACTACAAACCTAAATCAAAACCCCTCTCAGGGGTTCCCATACCTGATAATCCAAAATGCTGAAGCCCAAGCCTTTCCGGTCTTTGACCAGCTCCACAATCTTGACTTCAGGAGACCAAAGGGCTAATTCCCCATCATCATCGTCTTCCGAGGTGACATCTAGACTGCGATCAACCTGAAACAACAAAGAAGGTAAGAGCTGGAGCTGTCGCCCTTTCTCTTTGGAAAATAACTCAGTTTCTTTTCAAACTGGGAAGTCTCTTTGGCATGCTTGGTTAGCTTTTGATCTTTGTAAAGAGGGCATGCACTGGGTACTCACAATCAAGGATCAAAGCTTCATCAAACATTCAGGCATTCACAACTGCAGATCGTTCGCACGTTTTCAAATGGTTTCACTGCAAGTGTTAACACTGACCTCTTATACTTCAATGAGTTCTGTCATCCCATTAGAAGCATAAAAGGAAAAACAGGTAATTTAAGTATAAATGTAAACTTCATGCAAAGCAGAAGCACACAGATGTTTGAAAAGCAGTACTGTAGTCATGATTTCAGTCAGAGACAGAAAGGCCAGCCAGGGCACAGAGGAGCCATGCTGGTGGCTCCCAGATCTCATGAAAGTTTCACTAGAAAAGTACAAGGAGGAGGAAGAAGAGAGGAGGCGGTGGCTGGTGGAGTAGAGGTATGGCAGCGCCAGCAGCCACCACCACCAACTCCTTGAGCACTGTGAAATTCTCTAGGTAGAAACAGGAATGATCTGGTGTTGGAGGAAGTGAGTTAGCACAAGCGCACAGCATGCGGGCTCTTGGTTAATTCCCACACTGAGATCCCTCTCTTCTAGACTCCTGTCCATTCAGAATCCAGTGAGGTTCAATGAGACAGATCTACTAGGGGACCTGGTTGCTACAGAAGCCTTGAGTTTTATTTATAGCACTGTATTGATTTGGACTAATTAATTTTGTGAAAAATAGTCCTTCCACAGACAATTGACAATTTAGTTTTTGTGAAGCAGAGCCTCACTCTGTATTTCAGGATAGCTTGTGCTGTGGAACAATGATGCTGTACCCTCTAAAGATTTGTCAGCTGTATTGCTTTAATAAAACGCGGATTGACCAGTAGTCAGGAAGGAAGTATAGGCGGGGCAAAGACAACAGAAGAATTCTGGGTGATGACTGCACACTGCATCTTTCCTTTTTCCAGAATTCTCTTGTTTTCATCGCCCCACCTCTACTTCCTGTCTGGCTACTGCCAATCAGCATTTTCTTAAACCAGTATAACATACAAAACTTTACAGGAACTCACTATGTAGCCCAGGCGGCCACCAATTCACGGAACTCCTATCTCAGTCTCCTGTGTACTGGGACTACAGGAATGAACCAAACATATGACTAAGTAACAAGTTTTTAAAGTAAAATTCTTAAAAATCTTAGAGAACATCAGTAAATAAAATATGTATCATTTCTACAAACAGAACTAAGTCACTGGTATAAGAAAATCCACTTAATGGGATCAATGAGAGGGCTCTATAACAGGTAAGAGTAACAAAGTCACTCTCAGAATTAGAACTGGTCAGATCTCAAATTGTCGAGTTGTTACAGGATGTGGAACACCTATTCCAAGTTGGGCAGAACTTAACACAGGAACAATTTCTTGGTTCTTGAATGACCAAATCTGAAGTGAGAGAATATTCTCCATGGCTATTTTCCATGTGTTTTAGTTTGTTAAGAATTATTTATTTTATTATTTTAAAAATGACTATGGCACATGTGGATGCATGTGCTATGGCATACATGTGGAGGTTAAAGGACAACTCAGTAGACTCAGTTCTCTCCTTCTATCTTTCATGGGTTATAGGATTGAAACCTGAGGAGCCATTTCACTCACCTAGGAAGAGATATTTTAAAAAGAAAATACTTCCATCTTCCAACAGTCTAATATTATGATAGGTATAATATTGGTGCCTACTCACCAATCAGTGTGATTTAGAACTGTTGCTATTCCACCTAACCAGACACTTTAACAACACAGGATAGTACTGGAAAGATGTGTTAGCAGTAAAGAACACTTGCTGCTCTTCCAGAGGATCCAAGTTCTGTTGCCAACACCTATACAGTGCAGCTCACATTTGCCTGTAACTCTAGCACCAGTGGATTAACATCCCCTTTTGACCTCAAAGGGCATACACTTGGCATATGCTCACAAAGACACACATAAAATAATATTTTTTACAAAAAGAATATGATAGTTTCAGGAGAAATGAAAAACAGAGAACAATGAAACAGAAGTCAAAATTTCAAGAGATCATATTTATCAAAGCCCAAGTTTATCACAATGTTATGGCACACTAGGTGCACGTTCCACACCAACCTGGACTATGTCACTCTGATATATCAATTTTGCATAACTCCAGTCTACAGAACAGAAAGCAATCAGCTAACAGCCAGCAATGTTGGCATTTGGCATGTTCAGGCTGTTGTTCACCCCTGTGCAGTATGATGGATGGGAGCACAGAGTCAGCAAGCTGGGTTGATGATTTACCTGACAGAATTAAACTAAAGGTATTTTTATCTAGCTTCATAAGTAAGATACCACACACACTTCACTTTACTAAGAGCAGTAGAAGTCACAAAGTATCTAAAGAGTCCCATCCTTGAAAATTATGGTCTTTTATTTTGAGATAGGACTTTATTATGTAAAGTTCCTGGATGGCCTGGAACTTGATATGTATACTGGGTTGGTCTTGAACTCATAGAGGTCTGCCTGCCTCTGTCTCCCAAGTGTTGAGATTAAAGGGATATGCCACATCAATTTTTTTCTTCTTTTACATTAAAACATGAATCAGCCAGGCATAGAGGTGCACATCTATAATATCAACATTGGAGAGAAAAAGGCAGGATTATGAGTTCAAAACCAGACTTGGAATAAAAGCCAGTCCTTGTCAGTGAACCTTGTCAGAAGGGGTGGGGGAAGGCTGTCAATCAAGAATTGTTCATATGTATAGTACAGAATAAAGGCAACAAGAGATTAGAGAAAATTTTAAGAAATGACCTGTGCTCCAAAAGAATTGGCCAACTTCTTGAAAAAGCAAGATACAGCCATGCTAAAGGATCTCTAGCACAGCAGTTCTAGATTTTTCTGGTAATTTAGACAATCAGAAACAAAGACATTGGATGGAAAGCATCAGGAATATTACAACTGACATTCATGGAGCGCTCACTTGATGTGGGAAGTCTTTCTGTATATGTGTTGCTTTTATTGGCTAATAAATAAAGCTGTTTTGGCCAATGGTTTAGCAGAGTAAAGCCAGGTGGGAAATCAGAACAGATTTACATAGAGAGACAGAGAGAGAGAGAAAGAGAGAGAGGGAGAGAGAGAGAGAGAGAGAGATAGGTAGAGTCAGGAAGACGCCAGAACAGAACCTTACCCAGTAAGCCACAGCCTCATGGTGATACACAGATTAATAGAAATGGGATAATTTAAGATGTAAGAGTTAGTCAATAAGAAGGCTGAGCTAATAGGCCAAACAGTGCTGCAATTAATATAGTTTCTGTATGATTATTCGTGTCTGGACACCTGGGAACGAAAGAGCAGTCTGTTACACCACTCACAGTCAAAATGCTAAGAGCTTGGCATTATTATTTTATTTCCTTCTCACATAAGCTCTTGAGTGTTCTAAGTTCTGTGAACAGTACCATTTATCTTAGTTTCTTCTCTACCACTTTGATGAGACATCATGACCAACGCAATTTATAGAAGAGTTTATTTGGAGCTTACAATTTCAGAAGGTGAAGCCATGACTATCATAGTGGGGGAACAGTAGACATGGAACTGGGGCTTAGAGTTTACATCTTGATCCACAAGCATAAGGCAGAGGGAGAGAGAGAGAGCTAACTGACATTAGCCTTGGCTTTTGAAACTTCTAACCCTATCCCCAGGGACATATCTCCTCCAACAAGTCCACACCTCCTAATCCTTCCCAAACAGTTCCACCAACTGTTGACCAAGCATTCAAACAAATCAGTCTATTAGGGATATTCTCATTCAAGCCACCTTTCATTCCAATAGGAACAGAAGTCAAGGTTATCTACTCAAAGATGTACAAAGTATATAGGAAGTCCACACAACTTCAAAGACGAACTCAGTTGAATTTAGTTAAAGGAAAGGCCCCAAATTAAACTGCTGTGTCTGGAAAGGAGGGAAAGTGGCATAAAGATGAGGCTTCAAAGGACATGTGGTGACAGCACATACCTTCATAGTTCCTTCCCAGATTACAGCACTCCTAAAATAAGATATCTAACAGCAGAGGAAGTGCCAATCCATATTCTGATTCTTTTGCATTTATGTTAGCTTCTAAACTCACATTGAAACTTACAGAATTCTTCATATTTTTAGGGTTGTCAGACTAAGGGGAAGACTAAGATAGTCAATATTCACCAACACCACAACTTTGTTAGGATGAAATAAGTTGAAACAAAAGTCAAGCAGAAGCCATGAATTGAGACAATTAGTTTTAAAAGTAGTTGCTTTTAAATCAAACTGATATACATTAGTATCTTAACATTTTCAGGGAGTTCTAGAAATCCAAATGTAAATTCAGAATTTGAAATATTTCACACTTTTGCTTAGTCAAATAAAAGAGCAGAGCAGAGCAGGAGCCCCTCTTTATATTGTAACCCCCTCTGTGGAGTGCCCCCTGAAAAAAGAACACACATAATGAACACACATAGCCCTTTATACCTCTGCCTCAGGAAGAGATGGTTCCATGGTTCTTGGTTCATCAACTGAGGCCTCATCATCAAACAGCCGGCGACAGCAAACCAACGTAAATGGTGGAGGCACTTCTTTAAGAAATGAGACTGCTTCTCGGCGAGACTTCCCATAGAGCTGCACACCATTGACCTAGGATGACAAGGGCTGTCAGCTGTGAACAGGTGTAAAATTAGAAAGCACCAAAAAGACATTTCATTGTTCCTGTAAACAAAGGGCCAAAATTAATCATATTATTTTATCAACAGCTTAAAACATTAAGGATAAATCTTGATTTTAAAAAAATTATGGCTGAATCTCAACAGAAATGGGGAGAATAAAGTATAAAATGCATGCTAGGCAGCACTATTCTTGTGTAAAAGAACTAATGCTTCCCATCTCTGAGGTTTCTCCTTTACATAATCTAGTACTGTATTCTTCTGGCTTCCCTTCACTCTTCCTTAAATGCTCTGACTGTCCCTTCCAGGCTCTTCCTATCCATTTCCTTCTGTGTTGTCATTCTATGTCTGTTCACCATCAACGTGTGACCATATCAAGGATACCCAGCAGCTGAAGTTTACTGTCAGTCAGAGCACTCTTCCTCAGCCCACATCAAGAGCATCACCTTAGTAAATGCTTCTATGGGAAGAGACAGGTGTCCCCAACACCACTTCCATTCCCCTATGCTGAGCTAGTGCAACATCACAGAAGTGTTCAGTGCCCAAGTTAGTTCACATGAGTGCTCCCTACCTCTCAAAAGGAGAAGTCTACCTTGTTAATGATCAATCCCTATCACCAACACCATATATATATTGATACATAATAATATTTTGGACCAAAGAAGATTTAGAAATCTAGATTTGAGTGTATTGCTATTCTAACATGTGGTTTTAGCACAAAGTTCTCTCAGTTCTATCTACAAGTCACTGAGAGTATCCTGTCTATTATTCCAAAAAGCCGAAGAAGAAAAAGGAACACACTCCAGCCAACAATAGTCTCTTTGGATCTCTTCTGCCTTCCTAAGAGGAATTGGCAGCAATTTAGTACTAGTGGTATTTCTACTGTGACATCAGTCTCTCAAAGGTGAACACTAATGCTCAGATAACGGGCAGGACTGGCTATACACGGGGTACCTTTCCATAGATCTCACTGTGCCAGGGATAACAGAGGATGCTGGGTTGCTGGAAGCACCCTATCAACCCTTTCAGCAGTGGGTAGTGGCTGGAGTAAGTGGTCCTTAGGAACCGCTCTCTAGTCTGTGACATATCCAGCACTTACAGCCATTAATCCGGACACATCATCCTGTCTCTTACTTATTCAGACACATTCTAAAAACAGTAACAACAAAAACCCCACAGAGACTCCCAACCTCTCTGCCCCTTTCCACCTCTCTCAGGTCATCATGAGTATGAAGGAGTGTAGGGAACAGTCATCCCAGGAGTGAGCAGTCTTCCATGGAAGAATTCAAGCCAACCTCTATGCAAAAAGGGCAGGGAGCTATTGCTGCTCACATCATATCCACAGTGCCAGCCCATGAAATAAGCACAGAAAGTTCTAGAGTTAGCCGGACAATAGCCTCTATCAAATACAAAAAGAGATAAAATGGAAACAGTAACTCTACCTAGATACAATTATTAGTTTGTGCTTCAACAAATTAGAAAGTCGCTTTTTAGATTTCTATCTTAGAGTACCTTTAAATATTTATTTAGTTCATTATTTATTCATTTGAATTGTCTCCACTTATTATAGCAGTGCTCATAGTCCTTTTCACTACCTACTGCTAAAAAGACTGGTCCTATTCCCATTACCAACTCCTAGCTAAGGGATTTATGGCTGCTGTAAATAGCTGTTCTGGGCTGAGACTTGGCATGGTCCTCTAATCCAAAGCATATTTGTGTTTCTGGTTTTAAGCACTAACAAGTACATTAAACACATTGTGGGTGGGAGAAAGAAAAACGAAGAGGAGGGAGAGAGGGCAAGAGCAGGAGAGGGGATGGGAGAAACCAACCAAAAGTTTATGTGGTCAACTTCAAAGATCTGTATGTCTACAGTCACTTACTCAGAAGCCGATTTTATTTCAGAATTCACAATATCTCCAACAGTCCTTCAATCTGAGATCCTTTTCAAGTACCATCAAGTCATAATGATGTCAATTTGTTGATTAGAAAATGTGCAAGTGAGCAGAGGCTTGCCGAGCACTGACTTCACACATGAGCTTGTTAACGCATCTTCCTCACAAGTGGAGGAAGATGAAGAAATCAAGTTTTCAATATGTTAAATGAATGCTCAGGGACACATGCAGACCTGTGACAAATCCAGACCCCAAGGACACAAGGCATGTCTCTGCTATTGTTTGTTTGTTTGTTTGTTTTAACCAGAAATCTTCACTTTATATGCCAAACTATTGAGGCCATGAATAACACTCAGAGCAGGACACTTGCCTCCCATGTACAAGAGCATGTTAAAACAAATGAACGAGAAGAAAATAGACCAGGTTTACAAAATCATGTACCTTTGTGTAAGGAAAAAGTCATTATACTCCCCACCCCCAAAATCTTTACACTCCTTTTATAGCACTCTGTTTTTCAATGCATACGCCCAGGATAGTCTAACTTCAGCTGGAGAACAGAGGTATCTGTTGACGGGGTGAGGGTGGAGCTACACTATGCCTCATCTATTCTAACACATTCAACACTGCTCTAACATTAAGTGCTTTATACTCTAGGTCACTGACTTCCACATGAAAAAGTATTCATTGGTAAACTTAGCTGGATACACCTTTCCACCTAGAACTAACCTAAATTAACTAATCCGATTTTATTCCATCTGCATGTCTCAAATATCTCTTGTTTCTCAATAACTAGTAATTATATATCACAGCAATGTTCTCCACTCCACAGACTGTCTCAAAGCTATGACCATGCCTTGTCAATCAGAATAGACATGATCTTAGGACCAGAAACAAAGCCTCAGTTATGCAGTAAAATTTATAACATAAATCTTCCAAATGCAACGCAAGGCCACTACTTTTAGTGATCTAAAAATAACTACTTTCCTCCGTAAAGAATGATGAATGTTTGAGGAGATGAATATGTTCAACCTGACTTAAATAACACAGAACATCCTCTCTTATCAAAACAACACAGCCATTAATAGGTATTATTCTATTCAAATATGAAACACAGAAATGTCTAAAAGAAAACATAGGAGCATTCAAGATATTGGGTTAGGGAAGAACTTTTGAATAGAACACCAATAACATGTCAACAAAAGGGATGGCATCAAAGCCAAACAAAGGCTTGTGGAAAGCAAAGAAAATAAACAGGAGTGCAAACAGAGCTTAGAGAATGGGAGAACATCGTTACCAGCTACACTTCAGATAAGGGGCTAATAATACAGACTTTACAAAGAATTGTAGAAATTAAAAGCAAGGAAATCGCTAATCAGTACAAATGAATAGATACTTTTTTTTTAAAAAAAGAAACATTATGGCCAATAACTGTTTTTAAAAGCATTCACTATCCCTAGTCATCAGGGAAATGGAAACTACAGAATGACTATCTTCAACATTTCTAACAACTGTTGAAGAGGATGTGGGTTATTCACTTTGGTAGGGGAAAAAGTTAATATGTCATTGTAGAAACCAGTTTGGAGGACTCTCAAAATTAAAACTGAACTACCATATAACTCCACTATTTCATTCCTGGGTAAATACCCAGAGAATTTCATACCCTGTCAAAGAGATATTTGCAATTCCATGACCACTACTACTTTATTCACTATAGCACAGAAATGGAACAGAGTTGTCCAACAATAGGTAGATGGATAGGAGCAAGTGCATATATAAGATAAAATGCTATTCCGCTCTAAAGAAAAAAATGTAATCATAAAATTTGTAGGAAAATGAATGGATTTGGAATGTCTGATATTAAATAAGATCACATGATCTCAGAAAGGAAAAAAATGGATGTTCTCCCCGATATGTGAGATCTAGGCAATAATATATGTATATAGATTTTTTAAAAACTTACATGTAGGTACACTATAACATAAATAAAAAATAACAGAAAGGGATACATACTAAGACATGAGAAAGGACCAAATGGAGAGAATAGACATGAGTCATAAAAGAGAATATAGAGTTAACTGTTTTTCTAATTCTAACTCTGTTATGGGTTTTTAGTTTGTGGTAATGGATAAGTGCATAAAAATGTATTCAATAGAGAAATTGCAAAATTCAATGTGAAGCTATACAGCTTCATATTCAAAGAGTCAATCTAACTGTATAGGAATTTGTTGACCTTGAGTCTGGTTAATTTCTGTGTATAACTCTTAATTTGCAAGTTTTTTTAAATAATGAAGTTCATAATTGAAAAAAGACAAAAATAATAAATCAATAAAATAAGAGTTGGTATTAAAAATAAGTTCACTGACAGAGTACATGCCTAGCAACACAAGGTTCAATCTGCAACAGAGAGAGAGAGAGAGACAGAGAGAGAGACAGAGAGAAGCGGCCAAGTAACTTACTACATCTTACAATAAGATTCTAAAACCTTGTCTTCCTGTAGCATGAATTCTAATTTGTCTTAATAATAAAAACTCAGAGTCAATTATCAGAGGTGAAAGTTGAAGGATCAGAGAAGCAGAGTAGCCAACCGATAGAGAGTGCCTATCTCTATCAATGCTTAGACCGAAGAGGCAGTCCTGTCTCTATGAAATCCTCAAACTGCATCTGAGTTTCTGTCTCCTCCAGCCTTATATTCCTCTCATCACCCAGCCATATTCCTTCCTTTCTCCACCTCCCTAGTGCTGGGATTAAAAGCATATGATTCCAAGTACTAGGATTAAAGGTGGTGAGCCACCTGGCTGTTTCTCTTTTGGACTAGATAAATTTTGTGTAGTCCAAAGTGGCCTTGAATTCACAGAGATCCACCTGCCTCTGCCTCCCAGTGCTGGGATTAAAGGTATGTGCCACCACTGCCTGGCCTCTGACTAACTAGTGGCTTAGCTCTGCACTCTGATCTTCAGGCAAGTTTTATTTGTTAAATCACAAATGAAATATCACTACATCCTCTCATATTTAAGAGAGTAGATTATGACCATTAATATCATTTAAAAATTCAACTCAGCATTTCTCACAGCACACTGCTTTAGGTGGGTGATAACTACTAACTGCAGGGGCAGACAACCTGTGTGCCATTTTATCATTTCATTTTGATCAAACAAAATCTGAAAAATTTCTAAAATCAGGAACCAGGACTATCAAGTCAATTTATTAAATCCACCCCTATAGTATGAATGTGAACTATTCCCCATAGATTTCTGTGTTTGAATACTTGGCCTCCAGATGGGAGGGGTGTTTGGAGGTTTTAGAACCTTTAAGGGGTGGGTCTCACTGGAGGAAGTGGGTCACTAGTTATGGACATTGAGGCTTTCTAACCTAGCCCCATTTCCTGTCCCATCGGTGCTTCCTTGACTGCAGGTGCAAAGTGGGCAGCTGTCTCATGCTTCTGCATCATAGCTGTCCCCCCATGATGGACTGTATCCCCCCAAACTATAAGTCATAATAAACCTTATTCCCTAAAAGATTCTTGTTGGAGGATTTATCGTGACAACGGGAAAAGGAACTAACACACTAGGGCTTCTTGTGGAACGTCTGGTTCCCTGAGACAGTACTCTGTCATATGGCTCAGGCTGGATTTAAACTGCCATTCTTCTTATCTCTTTGAGGGACACAGGAAGTAGAGTGATGGAGTGAACAGACAATGAAATGAGAGGAAATACGAGCAAAGGTATTATTTGGTCACTGGTTCAGTAGGAAGCTGGGAAAGTCAGTGCCACTTTCTCTTATTTCTAAGAAATGTTAGTTTTGTGTGCTATGTTGGTGGTAGACTACCATTAACTACTACTTAAATCTCTCAAGAAGACACCAGATTTTTTTTAAACATATTTATTTATTTATGTATTATGTATACAATATACAATGTGTATGCCTGCAGGCCAGGGCACCAGACCCCATTACAGATGGTTGTGAGCCACCATGTGGTTGCTGGGAATTGAACTCAGAACCTTTGGAAGCGCACGCAATGCTCTTAACCTCTGAGCCATCTCTCCAGCCCCCATGGACACCAGATTTTTAAACTGTAGATTCAACCCTATATGTGTAATTAATGTATTTCCATATGAATAGTAAAGAGTTTCAGAATGCACAATAAGCACAAATTAATTTAAAAATTGAACCTATAATGAATCAAAGCTTTTTTTTTCCTGGCAGTACTTGCCCATCACAGGAGCTCACTGTGGCCTTGGCTGTGAGCATATAACACGCACTGGACTATGCATGCTACCATAACACAATCCTAACAAATATGGCATAAGACAGTGGTGCAGAATGGAAACTGTGCTGTTATTAATCACACTGTTTTTAATTATAGAAATGTAAAGTTTTTGGGAAGTACACTTGAATGCATTGGCACAGGGAACCACTTCTTAAATATAACCCTATAGCACAGACACTGAGAGAAACGATTAATAAATGGGACCTACTGAAACTGAAAAGCTCCTGTAAAGCAAAGGACATGGTCAACAAGACAAAACGACAGCCTACAGAATGGGAAAATATCTTCACTAACCCCACATCAGACAGAGGTCTGATCTCCAAAATAGACAAAGAACTCAAGAAATTGGACACCAAAAGAACACATAATCTTAAAAAAAAAAAAAAGGAGTACAGACCTAAACAGAGAACTCTCAACAGAGGAATCTAAAATGGCTGGAAGACACTTAAGGAAATGTTCAACATCCTTAGTCATCAGAGAAATGCAAATAAAAACAACTCTGAGATTCCATCTTACATCTGTAAGAATGGCCAAGATCAAAAACACTGATGACAACTTATGCTGGAGAGGTTGTGAGGAAAAGGGAACACTTCTGCATTGTTGGTGGGAATGTAAGCTGGTACAGCCCCTTTGGATGTCAGTGTGGCTATTTCTCAGAAAATTAGGAAACAACTTTCCTCAAGACCCAGTAATACCACTTTTGGGTATCTATCCAAAGAATACTCAATCATGCCACAAGGACATGTGCTCAACTATGTTCATAGCAGCTTTGTTTGTCATAACTAGGACCTGGAAAAAACCTAAATGCCTTTTGACTGAAGAATGGATAAGGAAAATGTAGTATATTTACACAGCAGAAAAAAATAACAACAGCTTGAATTTGGCAAGAAAATGGATGGAGCTAGAAAACATTATTTTGAGTGAAGTAACCAGACACAGAAAGACAATTATCACATGTACTCACTCATAGGTGGTTTTTAAACATAAAGCAAAGAAAACCAGACTACAAACCACAATCCCAGAGAACTTAGACAACAATATGGACACTAAGAGAGACTTACATAGATCTAATCTACATGGGAAGTAGAAAGTATAAAAAGAACAGATCTCCTGAGTAAATTGGGAGCATGGGAACCTTGGGGGAGGGATGAAGCGGGGAGGGGAGAGGCAGGGAGTGGAGTAGAGAAAAATGCAGAGCTCAATAAAAATCAATTAAAAGAAATGGGAGCTGAAAAGCATCGTACATCAAGTTGCTTGTCAGATAACTGTTAGCAAAGATGAAAAACAGCAAATACACATACACTGGTTGGCATGCATGTCAAATATGTCTTCATTTAAACTAGGTATATAGAAGATCACAGTTTTGAATGTGCTCCATCTTGACTAAGGGTCAGAGAGCTCAGACCTATTCTTGCTCTTCAAGGATGGCCAACAAGATGCTTCACCAAGGTGTGGCTACTGGATGCCTTAGTCTTCAAAGGTCAGTCAATAGGATATTTTGACTTAGGGCATGATTACCAGGTGTTTTGAATGTAAAAATCTATTATGCTTGCTTGTTCTTTGTATCATAGAAGTCTTGTGCCCTCCCCATTTGACTGGAATGTGTAAGGACTGTGAGTAATAAACTCATTTTTTGTTTGTTAGAGGAAGAGAAGGAGGAGGAGGGAGAGGAGGGGGGAAGGGGAGGGGGAGGAGGAGGAGAGGGAGGGGGAGGAGGAGGAGGAGGAGGAGAAGGAGAAGGAGAAGGAGAAGAAGAAGAAGAAGAAGAAGAAGAAGAAGAAGAAGAAGAAGAAGAAGAAGAAGAAGAAGAAGAAGAAGAAGAAGAAATGTAAAGTTTTAGCTATGGATATAGCTCAGTGGGCTGAACACTGGTCTAACGTATGAGAGGTCCCAATTTCATTCCCCACACCACCTAAAATGGGGATTGGAGGTACACAGGCCTAAAATATAATGGTTTAATTGTTTTCCTGCCATCATTCCTCAGCCTGTAAATGTCAAATTAGTACATGTTAACATCATATTACATTAAAATGTTTGATTTTTAAAATTACTGTTTGGGCTGTTGACTTGAGCATTAAAAAATTGTTAAATGAATTTTGGCTTGGGATAAAGACAGAATTTTTAGCAATTTCTGAAATAGTCCTAAAAATCTGCCATTTTTTCTATGTATTTAGGCAAAACAACATACTCAGTATTGACAATTATAAAATCCAAATGTTGATCAGATCTGTAAAACACTGAAGATTCTCTGATCCTGCCATACCAGAGTCAGTCGAGATTTATATGAAATCTTGTTCTTTATCTGAAAGCCAGAAAGCATGTCCATCTCAGTATGCAAAACAGCATTCATCTTTAGTAAGTAACAAAAATACGTGTGTGCCAAAGAATTTTAAAATAAAGTTGTGATTTATTATCAGTAAATTTCTATACTTATTTTATACCCATATACAAAGAATTGTGTAAAAATTGCTCTGATGACTAAGAGTTCTGCCCTAAATCTGCTTTAGGTTGACAAGACAATTGGTAGACTAAAAGAGACCATGGGAGTCAGCATTACCAAGAGAGAAATCCCAAGGGAATAATCTTAAAGCTACTTGCAAGCCTGAAGTTGTATAACCCTAATAATCCTTACAGAAATAACCAACAGAACCTGAAAATAAATATAACTACATATTTCCAACAAGAATCAGAGACCATGGGCCTGGAAAGGTGGCAAGACAGTTAAGAGTATTAAGTATTAAGAGATTTTGTAGAGGACCCCAGCACCCAAAGCTCTATTCTGACATTCAAGGGCACTAGGCACATACATAATGCATATAAATACATGCAGATAACACTCATATACATATATCAAACTTATGACAGTCATTTAGACAAACATTCAAAATGATGCTCAAGGGCTGGTGAGATGGCTCAGTGGTTAAGAGTACTGACTGCTCCTCCAGAGGACCCGGGTTCAATTCCCAGCACCCACATGGCGGCTTGCAGCTGTCTGTAAAATCCAGTTCAAGAGACTCTGACATCATTATACCAATGTGCACGAAATAAAGTTAAATAAAGTTTTTTTTTTAAAAAAATGACACTCAAAGGCCTTAACAACTAGAGAAAAGTACATTTAAAATGTGGTATATACTTTGTGTATTAACTAGTAAGCTGTTGGTATTTCTCACTATAAATGGCTCTCATTACATTGGCATTGGTGGCATTGTCAATTGGTGAACACATTTTCCTAGAACTTAAAATTATTGCTATGTATTTTTCTTCTCCTTTATGTTTTACCTCAAGAAGCTCATCTTCTGGCTGTAGGAGATTCAGGGTATCCACTGGACCACCAGGAACAACTGAAGAGATATAATGGTGTCCATCAAAGGAATCCACTTCCACACCAAGTCTCAGAGTGTGGATAGGCAGCAGCTGCAGGTAGCACAGAGCAATGACATCAAACAAGACAGGGACAGGACAGCTATTAATCAACCCCCAGTTAGGTGTCATTTAGATATTGAAACCAATAACTGAAACTCTAAATGATAATACAGGGGAAAGAGGCAGAAAGTGAAGTTACGAAACCATTGGTTTTCCTATTCTCCAGCATTTCCCTTCAGTTTCTGAGAATGGAGACAAAAGGCAAACAAAAGAGCCTGCCTTCAAGTCCTAGTTCCAGGTTCCCCACACTTCCTAGACTCCCCAGTATACATGCTGTGTGTCACTGTTCTATAGTGTTCCCCATCCCAAGATATCCCAACTCCCCTTCATTTCCTAATTAACTTACACTTACACTTTACTACCAAAATAATGAAACCTTCAAGAATCCCATTAATGAACATCCAAGTGAGGTCAGGACTATACGGAACACATCTTGATCTTAGCACAAGCACCCTGTTTATAATTCTCTTCTTTCTCTGTTTCCTGAGGCAGGGATCAAACTCAGAGCTTTGGAAATGGTAGGTAAGAACTTTACAACTGAGCTGTAGCTTCGGTTCTTGTTTGTTTAGTTTTAACATAGGGTCCCATGTAATACAGGATGGCTTCAATGTACAATCCTCTGGTCTTTACCTCTCAAGTGTTACAGGTGGGTACCAGCACACCCACAAACGATTCTATTTTCTTGATTGCCCAGAACAGTGTCAGGCACTGAAGATGATTCATTGGATGCTATGTGAACATTACTGATTTGGGGGAAGACAATCATTTTTCTACTCTGGGATTGCTTCTATTTGATTTGAAGGGCTCTTGTGAGCTACAGCATGAGTCACTGTTGAAAGACTCTGTCAGGAAGATGAGCATCTTAGCTGCATTCACCTTGGTTGGCTATAAAACTCTGGGACATTCACCATAGCTTCCTAAATTCAAAGGTGGTAAACACTATGCAATGTTTTACATTCTCTTGATCAACAGTCTGCTTAAGTACACAGCAGGGCCACCTCTAATTATTCTAGATAAGGAGATAATCCTCTACAGGTAGCAATGCATCCCAGTTTCCCTGTAGTCCCTTCATCCTGGAGTCGCTGCCTCCCTTTACTTATCTGTTCTAAGCACCCAGAGTTGCATAAGACTTGCTTCAGCCTCCACCTGGGGCTCACTTTCATCAAATGACAGCCATGCAGATAGATGGGAAGTGGCAAGCAGGTCAGCTGACTAAGTTTACAATAAGCACAAGGGACTAGACCTATAATCCCCAGACTAGCTTTCCAAAAGAGAATTAATTACTCTTAACCCCCAATCTCTCTGGGCTCTTCTAGCACCCTACATGAAGAGCTGGATTGTTTTCTTACTACTCTCGGTCTGTGATTTCTCATGGCTGCCACACCACTCTCTTGTGTAGTCACTATCAAACACGTCTACGAAGGTAGGAGCCGGGTCGCTTCCCATAGTTTATTCAGCAGAGGTGAAGCCAAGACTCTCAGGTAAATGTTTCTGTAAAAAGTTTCCCAACCAATCCATGGGCACTGCCTTCCTTTCTGCTGTGAGCCATATATCATGAAACAGAGTTGTGTCTCTCAGAGACCATCTCCCATGGGGTTCTGTAACTATCTTGCATAAGATTATGAAAGCAGATTATTCAATTTCCAGAAATTCTGAAAGCCAGCTGTTAAATGTAGCCTTCAAATTATGTTGTATAAAGTTGCAATTAAGTCATATTAAAAATAAATGTAATAAGTACTCAAAATCATAACTTTATAATTATTTATTATATTTTATTATTTTATTTCCCTGAGGTGATATATATCTGTAAGTTATAAATATTTCAACACCTCAGAGAATACCAATCAGGTGGACAATTGAGGCAAAGTAGCAGATGAAATGGTTTGTTTAGGTGCCAAGCACAGCTGGGACAGGTCCTTGCCCTGCAGAGGAGCCTGTGTGACAATAAAGTGAGACTTGTGAGCAGCTTTCCAATTCAGTGATCAGTGATGCCATTTGGCAGCTTAGAGCTGGCCAGGACAGTGTATGTATGCCACAGATATCAGTAAATGTTGCAAACTAGGGTGTTCTCATTCTCTTTCTGGGGGCTAGAAACTGTTACATCACCAACCTACCATAGATCTAGGTTATACTTCTAGGCTGTATATTGCATGTAAGGCATTGTGCAACAAGAAATGCAAGGTAGATGAAAGAAAACAGCCTTGGCTTCAGAATTATCACCAATGTCAGAGTGAACGACCAACCAGTCAACAGGTAGCATGATTCAAACAAGCCTATCCAGTAAAGAATGCAAAGAATGAAACCAAGTACTATTGCTAGTGGTAAGCAAGTGTGTACTAATCCCAGCAAGTGCTGCAAGGAGATAGATGCTCTGGGTCCCAATATAGGAACACAAGAGGTGGAGGTCGGTTCGCAAATCTGGCCAGGTAGGCAAGGAGAGAAAGAGACCTGTGAGGTGACAGATGAAAGATAAAATGAGTTAGCTCTATGAACAGTCTGCTGGGGGCTCTTGTAGAAGGGTAACTGTTCAATCTTCTACGTAAGCAAATGAGTAGATGATGTGATTATTTCTATATGGAAATAACTACCCAAATTTCACTATATATTAAAAAAATGTTGTCCATACAACAGAGACCTATACTACAAACCACATCAAAGGTAAAAGAATAAAAAAAGATAAAACAAGGGAAGTATTACTAACATCCCTTCCAGCTCCCTCCAACTACTGATGTATTCAACTAGTGGATTCCATCTCCCACTTCCATAGGACACTGAAGACAAAGGAGAGGATCAGAACAGACTCATTCATGGCATCCCTGGCTCCCTTTTACGCTATTTTTTCAGGTATCTGTACACACCATAAGATCTCTAGAAAACTTAATCTGCAAACAAAATACATGCTTCATCTTCAATCATGATGAACCAGAAATGATGTTTATAAAATCTGTCAATCCAGGGGAAATCTACCTAATATTAGTTCTGAATCTAAATGGAGTGCAGCTGGGTTTCTGGGATGTCATGTTCTACTGCTGCAGTCTTCTCTGCGGGAGCATAACTGTTTAATTACCTGTCCCATCTGCATTTAGCAGTCAAACAAATCAACCCTTTCATCTGTCTTTTAGTCGTCCATCCCTTCCGCACAGGGAGCTCTTAGGAAGAGCAGACAGTGCTAAGATGACAGGAGTGGGTGCGGCAGATGATTGATGGCCGCACACACATTCCTTACCATGCTTTCTGACGCTTGCTCAATATGCATTTCCCGGGTCCTCCTGAAACTGACAAAGCTAATGAGCAGTGGAGTTCTCTTGATTCTGTCCTAACAGGTAAAGGGTATGAATAAGAAAATGTATCTGAAGAAGGTGTGACCAATGGGTGTACTGTCAAAGTTAAAAAGATTAAGAAAAATGAGATTGAGAGAACTGGAGTCTTCAGTCCAAAGTAGAGAAGCCTGTCATGAAGTAAGCTACGACATATGCATTTGGTAAAAGCTTGACTTTTGGGATCCTAAAACAAGACATCAAAACGGACTTTCTCCATGGGAAAAAGAATTCTGGAAAGGACTGCTCCAAGGAGGTGTCAATGGAGTGGAGGAAGATATTTCCAAAAACATTGAACTCAAAATAAAACAGAAAAGAACAGAAGGAACTCCAGGGTTGGTTCTCATCATATGCATACACACACTAAATGAAAGTATTAAATACTCACTGATGTTCAAAAGTAGGAAGTTACTAAATCTAGCATAAACAAAAAAGCAAATATTCCAAGATGAAGGCTACATGTCTTCAAGAAGGAAGATAAGCTTCATTCTCTTAGAAGTTATGCAAGCAATCAACTAATCCACTAGAGCAGCTCCTATTCAATATCTGCTTATCTCTTCCCTTCTAAAAAAATCTTAATTTTGAATACTCAGAAATATATACTATGTTAAAAATACTGACAATTCTTTTCAACTTACTCATACAAGCAGGTGATCTGCTACTGTAGGTGTCACCTGGGTTACCTGTCTGTCCCACATGTCTGAGTTTTAATCACTGACCTAACACTGTACTTGAATCTCTCCTACCTTTGATCACAAAATTTCTTCTGCCTAGATTATTCAGTTTATTTCTTCCAAATCCACTCTTCAAAATACAGCAAACTCCCAGTAAGCATTTTGATCTGTCAGAAGGAACTACCACCTCTTTCCTTCAGCATGCATTAGGCATTTTAACAATACCTCCAAAGTCATTCTCAACACAACTCGAAAAAGATGAGACTGAAATCCCTTCCAGGAGGTGTGACAGGGATGCTCAATAATTAAGAACCGGGCTGTTTTTACAGAGAATCCAGATTTGGTTCCCAGAACCCACATGATGGTTAACTGTCTGTAACTCCTGTTCCAGGGGATCCAATGCCCTCTTATGACCTCCATGGGGACTACAGGCATACAGTGCACAGACAGACTTGCAGGCAAAACACTCATGCACAAAATAAAATTTAAGTTTAAATTCTTGGAAATTTTGAAAAACTTTAAAAAATTATTTTTTCTATAATCTCAAGACTTGGAAGGCAGAAAACAGGAGGATCATAAATTTGAGGGCTGTCTGGAACAAGAGAATTTGAGACCAACCTGAGCTACAAACATAGGGGTGGCTCTAGGAGGAATTGGGAGAGAGGTAAAAATGATTAAAATGCATTCATTGTATGAAATTTCCAAAGAGTTAATAAAAATGTTATTTTTTAAAAATGATGCCGGGTGGTGGTGGCCCACATCTTTAATCCCAGCACTGGGGAGGCAGAGACAGGCAGGTCTCTGTGAGTTTGAGGCCAGCCTGGTCTACAAGAGCTAGTTCCAGGACAGGATCCAAAACTACACAGAATCCCTGTCAAAAGGAAGGAAGGAAGGAAGGGAGGGAGGGAGGGAGGGAGGGAGGGAGGAAGGAAGGAAGGAAGGAAGGAAGGAAGGAGATACTTTGGGAAGATACTTTGCCTATCAGATGCTCTGTTTCCCC